CATATACACATATACACATATACACATATACACATATACACATATACACATAAAAAAATACAAAATCAAATACAAATCCTGATACGTATGCATATGCACATGCAAATACAGAAGCCTTCCACACTGTAACAACAACATTTACATGTACATGTACACGCTGCCGGGACCCCTGGCCTGCACTCCTTCCCCCCCTCCTACTTCACAGACCTTTCGGTCTTCACGGACGCCTTTCGGCCAGTTCTACGTCTGGTACACTCTTGCCCTGGCAGCAGCTTCACTCGTTCACGTGGTTCGTCTTTCCCCCCTCCTACCGTCCCGCCGCCACCGCCACCGCCTTTCCCGGCCCCTGCCGTCTCCAAACCCGCCGCTCTCCCCCCGTTACCCGGGAGCTTAGGTTTGGATGATCCCTCCCCCCCCTGCACACACACACCAAACCGATACGAGCACCCTGATCCACATCCATAGCCACGTGGCTGAGCACCACACCAGCGCCAGCGCCACTGCCAGCGCCACTGCCGCTGCCGCAGGGGGCGACGGCGCTCTCCAGCCCGCCGACCTCGCCTGGAGTAGACGTCACCGCCAGTGGCGGCGCTGAGCGGCGTAAGGTACAGCAAAACGACCGCACTTAGGGTTACGCCTGATCCTCTGAAAACATATCCGAATGGGATGTCGTTACTTCGTGTGCTACTGGCACGTGGAGAGGAACTCAACCGCGCTTCCAAGAATTTTGAAACGTGGATCTCCCTTTATGTGTATGGCCGCAGCGTCTCGTTGATTTGGGTTGGCTTGCCCACCTGAAACGATTGTATCGCTGTGAGCGACGGTGCTGATTGATTTGGGTTGGCTTGCCCACCTGAAACGACTGCTCGGACTGAGACACAATTACTCTTTGCGCGACCCGGCAAGAATGTCGTAACAAGAGGTGTTGCAGCCGGGGCCGAAGCGCGGTGTTCTTGAATAAGAGAGGAAACACGGTAAAATGCGAAGCGCAGAAGCCAGGAAGATCTGCAGTGTGAAGTAGTGGCCGAGCATGACGGTTACAAAAGAGGGGAGGGAGAGGGGAGGGAGAGGGGAGGGAGAGGGGAGGGAGAGGGGAGGGAGAGGGGAGGGAGAGGGGAGGGAGAGGGGAGGGAGAGGGGAGGGAGAGGGGAGGGAGAGGGGAGGGAGAGGGGAGGGAGAGGGGAGGGAGAGGGGAGGGAGAGGGGAGGGAGAGAAGGGAGGGAGAGGAGGGCGTTTATGTTGCTTGTATTGCCGCGTTTGTCTTTCAGACAAAAAGGCTCAGGATCTTCCCAACGCATCCCAGGATTACCCGAACACATCCCAGGCAGACCAGGCGAAGAAGTCGGCCTTTCGGCCACCAAGGCACAAACCAGGTACAAGACGAAGAATGCTTTTGTAGTGTGGAGTTTGTTACACGAGCACAACTCATCAGTTTGCTTTGCTCCGTGTAAGCTTTCCATCGGTAATTGCACCTCAT